CAAAGGGTGCAGCTCCCCTTATGTTGTATGCACTCCCAGCAACTTCAAAGAATCCTTAATTTCCTTGGAGACTGTGCCCAGTTAACTGAGAGACGTAATTCCTCATTTACTCCCTCTTCTTAGTGGTCATAGGTTTGAATAAAGAGTATCGAGGTAATCATGAGTCTTGTCACATGTATGACTTTTGTATCAATGTAATCTTAAGTCTTGTGATTTGTGTAACTTTCACGTATAACAACATGTAGTATTGTATGATGTCTTAGGCCTTGTTAACTCCTTTAACTCTATGACAAGCTTAACCAACACCTCTGCCTGGTGTTACCTGTAAGAAACTGTGAGATACCTCTGGTAACTGGTGCCTGGAAATGTGGACCACAAACGTTATTATTGACAAAACGTGGCTGGAACTCAGAGATTACAGTGCTCTGCTAGTCATGTATCAATATAACAGCCCTGAACTTAGCAAAGCGACCTGTAAAACTTGTGGGGTGAGCAGAACCATTTTAGAAAGGCCAGGTACCAGGTTCCACTCCCTGGATTCGAATTCAGAAATGAACTTCTTTCTACCCGTTTTCTGCCTCTCGATTTATTGGTGTCGAGGGTTAGCAGCCGAATGTTACATGGACCGTAACAATTATATAACATGCTACATAGGCACTGCAGGGGTCACATAAAACAAATGTGGAATACTTGGTCCTTCAGGAGAAAGACTAGATATAATTAGGGAGACAGAGTTCTGTAACAACAATGTCCTGTAAGTGTTAAGATGAGTGCGCAGACAACTGGTAGCACAAAAGACCAGAGAAGGCCCTCCTCTTCCATACGCGTGTATATACATACACACAACACGTACACGCGTGCCATTTACTATATATGCCACAGAGCGATATGAGGGTGAGCCTGGAGTTGGCGCTTGTCCCAGCTGTAATCACCTGCTCATCTGCCGCACTGTCCCTTCCTTGTCGGCTCCTCTTGCAGAAGGCAAGCGCCACGAGAAAGAAGGCATTTTTAAAAACCTCCTTGAAGTCAGGCACGGTGGCTCAGCCTGTCATCCCGTGCTTTGGGAGGCTGAGGTGAGTGGATTGCCTGAACCTGCAGGTTGAGACCCGCCCGGGCAACTTGGCGAGACCTCGTCTCTACAACAAATCAAAAATTAGCCTGTAGTTCCGGCTCCTTGGAAGGCTGAGGCGGAAGAATCGTCGGAGCCCGGCGGGTCAAGGTTGCGGTGGCCGGGAGCGTGCCACTGCCCTCCAGCCTGGGTGACAGAGGGAGACTCCAACTCAAAAAAAACCTCCTTGTTTTGACTCCCTGCTAGCAATTAAAAACTGTTTCCATCAGAATTACACCAACATCCATCGATTTTTGCTGAGAAGATACTTTTTGAGCTAATGCCATTAAGCCAATTTAATTCCTTGATTCATTTTCTATGCAAGCAATTAAACAAACCACTTTAAAAAAAAAAAATACCATTTCACTTCCACTTTTCTGCAATCATTTCCCTGGCTTCAATTTTCCAAAGATTTGGTTCACCACACAGTCTCTTATGCATATCAAATTTTACTGATCATAGCTTTTGCCATTGTAATTTATGGCTAGTTTATCTATCAAGTTTAATTTCCCTGAGTCGAATTTGTAGATAGGAGTCACTTTGAATTGTGGGCCATTGTAGTCAAGTCCTATGTAGTTTTGCTGCATGTTGTCTTAGTTTACACTGGCTTCTTTGCTGATATATATTTGAAAACAATAAATGGATATGTTTTTCATTGTCTTTAAGTCCTGATGCCCCAGGACTCCTGATTCAGTGAATTTAGTGGCGGGTGTGGGGTCATCACGAGGCAACAGCAGAGTGAGAGTACTTATGGGTAGGGCAGATGGCAGAGGCTGCAGAGCTCAGCCACAGGTGCCAGTGTGACCCTCTCAAAGGCCTGCTGGGGCCAATGTTGCTTCAGCAGATATTCGCTCAGGAGTCTGTGGGCAAGGCTGAACTTCCCACTCTTCCCCTTCTCACAACTGAGACCAGAGAGGACCCAGAGAACGAAGCCCACGCCTCCCATCAACATGGAGAGACACAAGCTTTCTCTTATACCAGTTGTTCTCATCATCTGAGAATTTATTAGTAATGCAAATTCTTGGGCCCTACCTCAGACATAAAGAATAAGAAACTCTGGAGGTGGGGCCCAGCAATCTGTATTTTAACAAGCTCTGCAGGTGAGTCTGATGCGTGTTAAAGTTTGAGAGCCATGGCCATACGCTAAGCTATCATCCTGGCCATAAAAAGAGAGAGGAGGAAGACATACAAAAAGATCAAACGTTTACCTCAAAGAAATCAAAGTCTAAAATATCCTTCAATCAAGGTCAAGTTTCCCACGATGTTCATAAGAAATTTAGTTCATTGCAAAGAAATAGAGACACCTATAATTTTGCCTACCTGACTTGTAACAGGTAAATCCATATCTCCTCACTGTAATTTTCCCACAATATTCATTATGATTGGTTAAAAGTTTGCATTTATTTCTTGGGTCATCCTCAACAAAACTGTCAACAAAAATGGCCCAGGATTAGTCTATTTCACAACCAAGTCTACTCTTCAGTAGGATTTTGATTACTCTTTACTGAGTACCACCTATAGTAACAATGAGCAAATGACTATGCCACAAGGACCTTGAGGTCAGTGTGGCAGCCTAAAATGTGCTGCTTCGGGACAGGGGTCTCGTCTGTCTTTTCCCTGTGCCATTTCATAGTGCCTTGTCCTTTACAGATGCTCAATGTAGATTTAGTAAGTGAATGAAGAATCCAGGTGGGCTTAAACAGCTTGAGAATGCCTCATGGAAAAGGTGACACATGGGTTGGACCTTGAAAAATGGGCAGAACAGAATGGATAGAGAAAGCAAGGGCATTTCAGGTAATGAGCTGCGCAAAACTTGGAATCAGGTCTAAATGTGAAGGGTTTGAAACTGTCTTAGTTCCTTTGGGCTTCTATAAAAAAAATACTATAAACTAGATGGCTAAGAAATAATAGAGATGTGTTTCTCATGGGTTTGGTGGCTGGGAAATCCAAGGAAAAGGTGCCAGCATTTGGTGTCTGCTGAGGGCCTGCTTTCTGACTCACTGACAGCTCCTTTTTGCACCCCTCACTCGGTGGAAGGGGCCAAGGTCTACAAGGCCTCATTTGTAATGGCACAAATTCCATTCATGAGGGCCCCACCCTCATGACCTAATTCCCTCCAAAAGGTTAAATTTCCTAATATCAACAGCTTGGGGGTTAGGATTTTAACTTTTGAGTTTTGGGGGCAAAGAAACATTCAGGCATGGCACCGAGTGGATGGTATTGGAGAGAAAAAGCTGTCCATGGGGGATCAAGATGATCACCATCATTGTTACATATTAAATATGCTAGTGAGTTAAATAGGTACGAATCCTCTGATACACTCCCTACCATGCCAGGCACCCAGCCAATAGCGGAGAACAAACAGACATGGCACCTGAGTCCAGTGAACAATAGAAAACAGGCCGTAGCAGGAGTATGGTGAATGCTTTGATAAGTGCAGTACAGGGACACAAGGGGAGCTCACCTAACCAGGACTTGAGGGGGGACGCAGGTGCAGAAGACCTTCCCAGGTGAAAAAACTTTAAACTGTGACCTGAAGACGAGTAAGAGTTAGCCATTCAACCAGGAGGGAAGAAGGGGGATGGAGTGGTGAGGAACGGGGCGAGATAGACAAACCTGGGCCAGATTAGGAAGGGTCTTTTAAACCAAAAGAGGCTGCGTTTTATCAAGGACAGGAGGAAGCCTCAGAAGGCTCTAAACAGGGGAAAGGACAGGATTGTTTTGACAACTTCACTCTGGCTGTGGTATGGAGGGTAGCTGAAGGACGGATGGCTGACAGTGATGGCCTTAATTAGGAAGTGGTAACGGAAAAGGAGAGCAGTTTAAAGGGCTTGTTGATAAAAACTGTCTGTGACAGTTTAAAACAGGCCCATAAATTATTCGACATTTCTCGCACTGAAACATAGAATATATAAGCTGCTTCTCCTTGAATCTAGGTGGGCACTCATGACTTTAGTGGAAGTGATGCTATGACTTCTGAGACTAGGTCATAAGAGGTAACAGTAGTTTCTGCCTGGTCCTCTTGAACCACTCACTCTTGGTATCCAGTTACCATGCTGAGAGGAAGCTGCATGTAGATGGTGTACCCACAACCCTAGCTGATGTCTTAGCATCCGTTGTCTGAAATATTAAGTGAGGAAGCCTTGGAGATGACTCCAGTCCCACCCATAATCTGATGATGACTGTAATTGCATGAGGCCTTAAGTGAGAAATGCCTGGCTGAGCTTAGTCAGTTCCTAGAGTAATGAGAAATCGTAATAAAATGACTGGTGTTGCTTAAAGCTGCTAAGTTTTGGAGTGCTTTTTTTTTTGAGTCGGAATCTCACTCTGTTGCCCAGACTGGAGTGCAGTGGCTGCCCCTGGCCACCACAGCCTCACCCTGCTGGGCTCCGGTGATCCTTCCACCACCTCAGCCTTTCAAGTAGCCGGAACTACAGGCGTGCACTACCACACCTGGCTAATTTTTTATTTATTGTAGAGATGAGGTCTTGCCAAGTTGCCCAGACGGGTCTCAAACCCGTGGGCTCAGGCAATACACTCACCTCAGCCTCCCAAAGCACTGGGATTACAGGCTGAGCCACCAAGCCCGGCCTTGGAGTGTTTTTACACGGCAGTAGATAACCAGAACACAGTCTGTGTTATCACATAAGATACCTTTTTGTCTCCTTTTCATAGCTGTACTGAACTCACCCTCCTGAGTTTTGGGTTCTGGAGCAATAGATATTCACAATAAGCAAAAACAACTTACCAAGGCACATAACCGACTGAGAAGTGAGATGGTCTGTGCAATCAAATATGCTCATCAACAGGATAAGCAGATGCTCTAGGCAAACTACCGACTACAAAGGAACAACATTTTTTCAAAGGAATGACCACACTTTAAAGAATAACATGTCTGCCATATTGAACACTTTTTATTTCTGTTTAAAGATGTTGGAGTTATCTATTATTCTGAGGAAAACATTACACACATGAGTTACCTCTGTACTGAGGCTTCAGAACAGGTGACATGATCCAGTTTTTGCAGTTAGTCAAGCACTGGCTGTCTGCTCAGGGCAGAATGAATTGGGAAAGTTGCAGCTGCCATTTACGGGTCACAGTCTTTAAAAAAAATGTTGCTAATGAATGGCTGTTGGCTAACAACCAGGGTCACGTTCACTAAGAGCATCACAGCCATCTGAATGCTCTTTGTAAAAGCTGGAGAAGATGAAAGATAAGCCGAGGAACAGGAAGCATGCCCTATTTTCCTCTAAGACTGAAGGTAAAGCAACCCGAATGCTTTTGTGAGTGTGCACAAAACACCAGACACAGACAAAAGCAATTAAGATTCTATCAAGGAAGAGAATTTGCTTCTCTAAATGAGGCTGTCTAATGTCTCACAGAGCACAAGCAAAAGAAACCCTTTCAGTATTTCTGAGCAGGAGCAAGACCTTACTTGTTTATACAACTCCTTGAGTAGGTGCAAACATATAGCGCATACTACACGCCAGGCACTGCCTCTCGCTTTTCGTTCAGTGTCTCATTTTATCCTCACACCAAGCCTATGTGGTTGGCACTGTTATCCCCATTTGTCAGATGGGAAACTAGATGCGCCCATGGCCACACAGTAAGTCGTAGGAGCCCTTCGCATTCTCTTAAGAGGTTCTCCTTTTTCCCCTCTGGAGAGACAAAATGAGGCATAAAGGGCAGGATACTACACCAGGAATCTGGGTTTTTAGTCTCAGCTTCACCACAAACTAGGAATGCCCATCTGGACAAGTCACTTTCTCAACTTGAAAAATGAGGGAGCTGATTAGGAGATTCAGGAGACCCCTCCAAGTCTCAAATTTCTGATTCTACAAATAACCCCTGCCTTAGAAAAACAATAAAGTGAACAGTCTTAATTTTGGAAGTAGCACTGGAGTCTGCAGCAGTCTTGGCAGACAGCTGCTGAGGCCTCAACACACCTCTGGACATGCAGATGCGAAAGGCACACCTGAGGTAAGGTCGCTGTGTATCTTCTGCACACTGGTGACCGGATATGACAAAATTCACCAGATGCTGTGTTTCAAACCATCCTAAGTATGAAGAAGCGTCAACCTGCTCTTATGACACATTTATTTTTACAAAAAAGCGAGAAAAAGCATCTGAGAGGAAAAGAGCAAATCATTAACAAATGAGATAAACTATAGGACCAAATATTTGTGATCCACATAGAAAAGTAAGTACTATGTGGTTTTCACTGACACTTATTTTGAAAAGCCCATGGCTTACCCATGACCAAAGCAGGAATCATTTAAACTTGCTTTCCTTATCTGAAAGCTAAATTCTGGTTTCGTTTGTCACGCTGAGAAAATAAAACAAGCACAATCACAAGAAGTCTGTTCAGGAAGCTTTTCATTTCTCTTATTTTTTGAGAAAATGTGACCCTACTGAGTCTCAAATAATCATTTCAAATCTACATGCAAATACACATAGGAACTATTGTTTTGATGGAAAAATAAGAGTTCAAGTATCTTGTTTCAAGTTATGGAAATGTATGACATCAGTGAGAAGACCCTGGACTATGTTCTAACCTGATAGAATTGGGGTTCAGGCCTCCTAAATTCAGCAAGGGAATAAATGACAAGTAATGACTCCCTTGAAAATCAGTCAGAGTCAACCACACTTGCAATGACATTCATTTCTGATGGAGCTTGCTGAGCTCTCCTGTGGCACCAGAAGCTGGACTGGAGATGGCAGCCATGTTCCCTCAGGGATCTCAGCGGCGCACAGGGGAAGCCTCCTCTCTGAGGGAGCCGAGCTTTCTGTGCTTGTGTTTAGGTCTTCACAGCAGTGCAACTTACGAACTCAGATCAGCATACCACCAGTGAGCACAGGAACTTGGGGAGGAGACCAAGAGTTAGCACAGTGTCCACTGAAGTTTGAGGTATGGCCCTCAGGGAAGCCAACGACTCACGGGAAGCAGGCCCCTCAGATCTGCAGTGGATCCAAGTGAGGGTTACTCAGCCAAGAGGGACTGGCTGAGTGGCTGGAAGGTCCGGCGGCTGACTGTCCTCTTGTTTAGCAACAACGTGTGGGATTTCTTGTCCCGGGGGGTGTGGCAGAGCAGAGCATCCAAAGTGTAAGTGGTAACCTGGCCACTGATGTGCAATTTCCCATAGATCTCATCAAATCCGGCCACAAGGGCAGGCACATCCTTCACTTTTTCCCTCACTCTGGCCAGCTGGGAAAAAAAGCAAAAGCAGATCATTGTATCTCTGCAAGATTTCTTCTTTGTTCTATACTCAAAGAAAAAATAAACAGACATACATGAAAGTATACAGAGTACATGTAAAGTTAGTAAAAACCATGATACTGGGGCAAACAGAGGTATTATTGACTATTTCAGAAGCTATACACAAAATTAGTACTTGAAAATCATACCTGCCGGGCTCGGCGGCTCAGCCTGTAATCCTCCCAAATCCCGCGCTTTGGGAGGCTGAGGTGAGTGGATTGCCTGAGCCCACGGGTTCGAGACCCACAAGACCTCATCTCTATAATAAATCAAAAAATTAGCCAGACATGGTAGCATGTGACTGTAATTCCAGCTACTTGGAAGGCTGAGGCGGAAGGATCACCGGAGCCCAGCAGGTCTGGGTGACAGAGTGAGACTCCAACTCAAGAAAAAGAAGAAAAAAAAAAAAAAAAAAGAAAATCATACCTACTATCTTATAAAGAGGGGTTCAAATGACACATACTATACAATGAAACATACCAGGGAAAGCCGGGCTCAGTGGCTCAGCCTGTCATCCCGCGCCTTTGGGAGGCTGAGGTGAGTGGATTGCCTGAGCCCGCGGGTTCGAGACCTGCCTGGGCAGCGAGACCTCATCTCTACAATAAATCAAAAAATCAGCCGGGCGTGGTGGCGCATGACTGTAATTCCAGCTACTCGGAAGGCTGAGGTGGAAGGATTGCAGGAGCCCAGCAGGCGAGGCTGCGGTGGCCGGAAGCGGCCACTACACTCCAGTCTGGGCCACAGAGTGAGACTCCAACTCAAAAAAAAAAGAAACATACCAGGGAAAGGCAAAATACCAATGGAATCCACCTTGTTCAATGTCATGATTAGAGCAGGACCAAATTACATAAGGCTTCATATACAACCTATGGTAAGTTTTTTGAAATTCTAAAAAAGCCATCAGAGGCCTGACAAGTTATATGGAGAATGAACTGGAGGGTACAGAAATATGGAGCCTACACCAGAGGACCCCATCACAGTCCAGATAAGAAAGATGCTGGTTTAGCTTGGGAAATGTATAGAAAAGCTGTAGATATATGTGAGGTATATCTTGGAAGTTACATGGGAAAAAAATGTATTGCTGAGGGGGTGAAGGAAGGAGTCGAAGTTATCTTCTCCATCTGGGTTTAACTGGATGATGGGTACTGTCACTTACTGAGATGGTGGCCAGACCTGGAGGGGAGAATCAAGAGTGCTGTTTTGGACATGATTGAGAGGGTATGGAAAGATCCATGTGGCTATGCTGAGCAGGCCGTTGGACGGGACAGTCTGGGACAAGGAAGAGAGGTCTAGACCAGAGGAATACATAGTGGAGTCACAAGTATCTAAATGGCATTTAATTCCACAGAAATGGGTGAGCCCAAGTGAATCTGAAGTTACTTTCTGAACAAAACCAAAATTTAGTTAGTTCAGGGTTTATCACGGATACAACCTAACATTTTTGATGAAATTTGAGATTATGCTAACAAATCCTTTGGTCATCTTCTAAATAGAGAATACTATTTGCTACTTGCACATCTTCCTTTCAAACAAGGGCTCCCGACCAAACCTTCAGACAAGAAGCTTAAGCACCTCTTAATGTTCTTAAAAAAGAATAGCTTATTGAGCCTCATGTTCAAGGTGAAACAACTTAATGTGCAGCATATGGCTTTCAAAAGAAGAGAAGCAGACATGCCAAGCCAGAGGTAGCTCTGATCTAAAAATGATCAGTTTTGTCAGGTAACTACAGAAATATTAAATGCCATTCCTAGGAGCATTCTAAAATTTAAGCAGGAAAAAAAAGCCTGTACCTTGTTATTACTTTTGCTTTTAACAAGAAATCAATGAAGAAATGGCTATGTTTGAGTGGTTTCAGGAACAGTATTATAGAAAAACAACAATTTCTTTGGAAACTCCTCTGGTGGTGGTAGAATAACACCTGTGATATATTATAGTCTTATCTCCATGCATAACATATTTTAAATAACTGTTGGATAAACACTAAATACAGCATTTGTAAAATGTAGACTTTTACAACGTGAGACTCCACATGCAATCTCACATAAACATATTTAGAACTAGCTCAAAAGCTACTGGAGTTATATGAATCCCTGAGCGGTCTCATAATAACCAGGGGGAATACACTGAATTAAAGGGTTCGGTTTCTAAGAAAAAGAGTCTTACATCAGTATTTTTCTTTTTCTTTTTTTTTTTTGAGTTGGAGTCTCACTATCGCCCAGACTGGAGTGCAGTGGCCGCTTCCGGCCACCGCAGCCTCGACCTGCTGGGCTCTGGCGATCCTTCCGCCTCAGCCTTCCAAGTAGCTGGAACTACAGGCACATGCTACCACGCCTGGCTAATTTTTTTGATTTATTGTAGAGATGAGGTCTCACCTGCCCAGGTGGGTCTCGAACCCGCGGGCTCAGGCAATCCACTCACCTCAGCCTCCCAAAGGCGCGGGATTACAGGCTGAGCCACCGAGCCCGGCTTCAGTATTTTTCAATATGGCATTTATTTGAATGCTTCAGCTGTATAAATGGACGATGACATATTGACGGACCAGGGTCTAAGTAAAGATTAACACAAATGCTGCTGAGAAAATTGAAGTCATATCAGTATTTCACATGTGTGTGTCACACACACACACACAAAACTGTGCACTTTAAAATCTGTTTGTGGCCGGGCGCCATGGCTCAGCCTGTAATCCTTGCACTTTGAGAGGCTGAGGTGAGAGGACTGCCTGAGCCCAGGGGTTCGAGACCAGCCTGGGCAACTTGGTGAGACCATGGTCTCTACAATAAATCACAAAAAAACTAGCCGGGCGTGGTGGCATGCATATGTAGTTCCAGTTACTTGGAAGGCGGAGGCAGAAGGATTGCCTGAGCCCAGCAGGTCGAGGCTGCAGTGGCAGTGAGCATGCCACTGCACTCCAGCCTGGGCGACAAGAGTGAGACTCCAACTCAAAAAAAAAAGAATCTGTTCACACTTCTACTTTCCTAAGCTTTGCTCCAAAAGGATTGGGTGGGTCACAACCTACACAGAGCTAATACCTCAAACAGAAAGATGCTTTAAATTAATCATATCCAGTTAGTCATATTCCTGACAAGCTCCCCTTTATCAGCAGGAAGAAGCCTTTGGGTGGAAGTGAGGAAATGGAACAGGCCTAGGAAGGTGACAGCGTGCCAGGGGAGGAAGCAGCCACTGCCCTCTAGTGCCAATCCTGCCATCCCGGCCGTCAGCAGGGACCAAACTATAAATGGCAGAGGAAGGAGGGAGAAAACAGGGAGGAAGGGAAGACCAACCAACAGGGCACCACCTGGTTAGTCAAAATGACAATGCCAGTGTTCTTACTAACAGTCTGATCACTGTCAATAATTTAGGGTTGTTCACAGCTCTTAGTAGCACCTGAAGTTATATGCTACTAGAGATGTATAAGTTACTTTATTTCAAATGACCTGCAACGATTCCTCTTTGTATACTTAAGCCATCAATGTGACCACATGGGTTCATTTGTTTCATTTCACTTTCAGTATTTAGAAACTGCTTTTCTCTTCATTTTTATTTAACTGAAAAAAAGTTTTGCAAAACATTTACATGGTTCCTAAGTCAAATATACAAACAATGTACATTCAGAGGAGTCGTGCTTCCATCCCTCACCTTCACTTCCATTTTTTTTTGTTTTTTAAAATTAAATTTTAAAAAATTATTTTAATTGACAAATAATTGTATATAGCTATGGGGTATAGTGTGATCTATGTAGACACTCCAGAAAAATTTAATCAAGCTAACATATCCATTAACTACCAACCTATTTTTCTTGCAATAAAACATTAAAAATATATTGCTTTGGCATTTAAAAAAAATATAATAAATTATTAATTGTGGTCTCTAAAGTCTCCACCATAAAAACCATTGGAATTGATACATTCAGTAAAGTTGCAGGTTACAAAACTAACATTCAGTAATTAATGGTAAACTTAACAGATCATCCAAAAAAGAAATCAACATAACTGCTTTCAAATTTTGGTTTAGGTTTGGTTTTTCCATCTGTTGTGTTTTTCAGAAATCTAAATGTAAATAAATAAATGTACACACACACACACACACACACACACACACCCTGCCCTTCTTAAAAGATACCACACACACTGATCTGCAACTTTTTTCACTAACAACATATTTAAGTGGCCCATATACATAGCGATCTATAGCACGGCTATGTTGTAGCTATTCATTTCTTTTGAGTTGCACAGCAGTCCTCTGCATGGACAGACCTTAATTTGTTTAACTAGTCCTATACTGATGGAAATTTGTGGGGAAAATTTCCCCCAGTCTTTTGCTACAAATTAGCCTGCAACAAATAGCCTTGCACATAAAACTTCTCTATTTTTATTTTATTTTTGAGTTAGAGTCTCACTCCATTGCCCAGGCTGGAGTACAGTGGCATGCTCACAGCCACCCCAGCATTGACCTGCTGGACTCCGGTGATCCTTTCGCCTCATTCTTTCAGGTAGCCGGAAATACAGGCACATGCTACCACGCCCAACTAATTTTGCTTGATTTATTATAGAGACGGGGTCTCACCAAGTTGCCCGGGCTGGTCTCGAACCAGTGGGCTAAGGAAATTCACTCGCCTTGGCTTCTCAAAGTGCTGGGATTACAGGCTGAGCCAACGAGCCTGGCAAACTGCTTTATTTTTGTCAGTGTATCTTTAGAATATATTCCAAGAAGTGGGAAAATTGAGTCACAGCCAGTTCATCTGTAGTTCTGCTAGATACTGCCAAATGTCTCCCACTGGGTGTAGGCATCTCTACAGTGTAAGACGACATTGCCCATTTTCTCAGAGCCTCACCAACTAAGTATGTTATCAAGCTTCCACATTTCTATTAATCTAAGGTGTTTTTATTTTGCAATTATCTTAATATGAAGAAGGTTGAGAATCTTTTCAAATGTTTAAAGGCCAGTCATAATCGGTTTTTAGTGAACTCTGTCCATATCTCTCATCTATTTTTTTAAGGGTTGTTCATTCTTTTCTCACAATTTTCAAAAAGAGCTCTTTAAATCTTAGGGTTAGTTAGCCTTTTATCTATGTGATTAAAAATGAAAAATATTTTCTTCCAACTTGTTATTTATCTCTTGACTTTGCTTATAATGTTTTTGCCCTCCCCCCAAAAAAGGTTTTTAAAATTTTTATGTAGTCAATTTTATCATTCTTTTCTTTTGTTGATTTGGATTTTGACTGAGAGATAAATGTTTTTCCATTCCCAGGATATAAAATAATTCACTAACATTTATCATTACTTGTAAAGCTTAATTTCTAAATTTTCATATTTCATTCCTGGTTTGTGGTATAAGAACATATAAACTTTTTATGTTTTTTCATTGCCTAGCTACTTATCCTAGTGAGACAGAAGATAGCTAGAAAAAGGATACGCAGACAGACAGGTGGGTCCTCTGGTAACAATGGAGCAAACTCCTAGCAGGCCTCTTAGGCTCAGCATTGGTAAACAAGCTCCCTGAGAGCTTCTCAAGCTAGAGCTTAGGTACTCACTGCCAGGATCGAAAAGCAACCAATCAGCTCACCATTAGGCCCCTACCTCCTGCTGACTAACCAATCAGAACAGCTACAGCTCACAGCTAGTGCTAGCCAATCAGCTTGGATTTAGGATTATACAAGCACCAGGTTTTCAGCCCCAGATGGGCAACTCCTTCAGGTCCCCTCCTGCTGTGGGATGTTTTCTGTTCTCTCAATAAATCCTGCTTTCTTACTTTCCAGCCATCAGTGTCCCTTATTCTTCCTGGGCATGAGACAAGAACCTCGACCCTGAGGAGCTACAGAAGATTGTGGGAGCTGGCTGAGCCAGGAGAGCTGCTGGAAGAAGGCGAGGCTTGCCACGAACCAGCAACACTTCCAGGGCTTGGCTTGACAGCCCATTAGAGCTGACGCTTCCGGGGCTAGGCTTACCATCCCCTCCAGACTACCCTCTCTGGGGCTTGGCTGACTGACCCACTGAGCCGACACTCTCAAAGCCCAGGCCCACATCACTAGCACCGCTTTTTAGAAAAGTCTATTTATTCCAATTGATTTGAGATGCTGGCCTCTATCTTACACTGAATTTGCATATGCAATTGGGTTTATATCTGGACTTTTTGTTCCACAGCATTCATTGTCCTATTCATGAGCTACACCACAGTTTTAACTATAGAAGCTTTGACATGCTCTAGTACCTGCTAGGCCTGGTACCTCTATTGCTCTTCCTTCACAGGGTTTTCCTAGCTATTTTTGCTTGTTCTTTCAACTAAACTTTTTCATTTTCTTTTAATTTTTATTTTTTGAGTCAGAATCTCACTCTGTCACCCAAGCTGGAATGCAGTGGCACGCTCATGGCCACCACAGCCTTGACAACCTTCTGGGCTCAGGCTATCCTTCCGCTTCAGCCTTCCAAGTAGCTGGAACTACAGGTGCATGCTACCATGCCCAGCTAATTTGGTTTTTTTTTGAGTTGGAGTCTCACTCTGTTGCCCAGACTGGAGTGCAGTGGCACACTCCCGGCCGCCGCAGCCTCAACCTGCTAGGCCCCGGCGATCCTTCTGCCTCAGCCTTCCAAGTAGCTGGAACTATTATAGGTGCACGCTACCACACCCAGCTAATTTTTGATTTATTGTAGAGACGAGGTCTCGTCATGTTGCCCGAGTGGGTCTTGAACCCAAGGACTCCTTAATCCACTTGCCTCAGCCTCCCAACATGCTGGGATTACAGCTGAGCCACCGAGCCTGGCCTAATTTTTGGATATGTTGTAGAGATGAGGTCTCACCAAGTTGCCCAGGCTGGTCTCGAACCCCTGGGCTCAGGCAATCCTCTCGCCTCGGCCTCCCAAGTGCTAAGATTACAGGGTTGAGCCACCATGTCCGGCCTCAATTAAACTTTAACTACAAAAATAAACAATAAAAAACAAAGTGATATTTTTGGGGGGATCATATTACATTGTCACATTAACTTGGGAAGAACTGACGTTTTATGAGGCTGACTCTTCCTATGTAAACACTGTATACCTTTTCATTTATAAGGGAGTTTTTTTTTTTTTTTTTAAGATGAGAAATACTATACCCTATTGTTTGCTAGTGAGAATGACAAGGTGAAGGGGATATTGATGATGCTCAAAACTGGCCCGGTGCCCTGGTGTGGGTCAAAGGAGATGGAATCAAAAGGTTAGCTTGAGAGAGGCATCACAGTCACCATGGGTACACAGGGCAAGGGGCCAGGGGCTGACAATGTAATCACTTCTGATTACTTCTATTTTCTCTGTGAAACAAAAAGATCATCAACTGAGAGTAAGAAGTGAGGAGAAAGTTTTGGAGGCTTGAGAGAAAAGGAAAATGGTGTAAAATTGTTACCCAGGGGAAAAAGAGAGCCAGGGTCCATGAATACAGTGTAGGGAAAAGAGTAATGTAAAAGGAAAAAAGTTTTCCCAGAATTTCAGAGGACATATTCCATAGGAAGAAAAACAAAAATTTTTGCATTCACACGTCTTAAAACAGGAATAATAGAGAGGTTACCATATTTGATAATCTCCTTAAGGAAGTGAGCCACAGAAATGAGAAATTAAATGGACATTTTTAAGAGTGCCCTTTCACTTTTAAATGATTTCTGCAGCACTTGCATACTTACCACTTCCTCTGAGAATGCATGTCTTTTCACAAATCTTGATAAATTTCCTTCTGCAGCATTCTTTAGTATCTCTATTAGGGTGTCCAACATATTTGACTCAATATGGATTATAATCTGAATATAACAAAGCAAGCAAAAACAAAACTGAGCCGGTCTCTCAATGTTGAGAAATATACTTGTTTCGATAACCATGCTTTTATAGGCACCCACCCTGCTTTCATGCTATTTCCTAATTTATTTGCTTACATGGGTTCAAAAGACTATTTCAAATATATGCCCACCTGTCAAAACTTGCTTTCCAATAGTTCTTCAAAATACCTCAATTCAAAATCTAAAAAGCAATACGGAGGAGAGCCTGGATTTTGGTGTCTGGATACTTGGGCTGAAATCCAGACACTGGCAAGTAGCAGCTAAGTGACTCTGGGCCGGGCACTAAATTTCTCTGACTTTCAATGTCCTTGTTTGTAAAATGGGGAAAATGCAATTAGACCTCATATTTGGGGTTACTGTTAGCATTAAATGAAGTACCAGCACACAGGAGGTACCCAATAAACAAAAACACGAGTTTCCTCCTTATATCCTCTGGATTGAGATACTCTCATAAGATTGGCTAGGGGCAATTTTAATTTGGTACCTTTAACTTTGTGGTGTCATTCGGAAATTGCAGGCACGCAGGTTACTGTAGGATGAGCAGAAGCTGGCTGAAGTCTTAATGAGGTACTCCTGTTTACACTGTATCTACTAGGAAACTCAAAACTGGGTACTGCACTACCTTTCTAAATCATGCAGCTACCGTTCTTTTACCAGTAGTGCAAGGAAAAAACATACCCCCTCCCACGATTACCAACATTCACTAATACAATTTTTAAAAAGCTGAAAGAAAATGAGAATTGAGAATTCACTAACCAATACGAACCATTGTTTATAAATGGATGCACTGTCTGCCACATGTTTATTTATCCCCTAAATTTGATGCTTTTTTGTCAATTATTAAAAATACACATTTCTTTCCTTCTTTTCCATTTTGGGGGACTTACTCTGTGGCTCAGGCTGGAATGCAGGGGCCGTGACCACGGCTCACTGTAGCCTCAAGCTCCTGGGCCAGGCAATCCTACTACCTCAGCCTCCTGAGTAGCTGGGCCTACAGGTGCATGCCACCATGCCTGGCTAATTTTTAAACATTTTTTAGAGACAAGATCTAGCTATGTTACCTAGGCTGATCTCAAATTCCTGGCTTCCACCAACCATCCTGCTGTGGCCTCCCAAAGTGCTGGGATTACAGGCGTAAGCCACCACACCCGGTCAAAACAAAGCAAACAAAAAAAATTTATTTCTTTATAGCATTAATATTAGAAAAAGAAAACCTCATTTTTTTTTTTTTTTGAGTTGGAGTCTCACTCTGTCGCCCAGACTGGAGTGCAGTGGTCATTCCCGGCCACTGCAGCCTCGACCTGCTGGGCTCCGGCGATCCTTCTGCCTCAGCCTTCCAAGTTGCTGGAACTCCAGGCACGAGCTGCCATGCCTGGCTAATTTTTTTTTGTTTTGATTTATTATAGAGATGAGGTCTCGCCAAGTTGCCCAGGCGGGTCTCGAACCTGTGGACTCAGGAAATTCACTCACCTCGTCCTCTCAAAGCGTGGGATTACCGGGTGAGCCATCAAGCCCAGCCAGAAAACCTCATTTTTAACACACGTATAGCATCAGGGAAATATACCACACTTTATTATATTGACCATTGTGTAGATATTATTTTTTTTAAAAGCGGTAATGTCTTAGACTTGATTCCCAGAATTTAAATTACTAAATCAAAGTATATATACATTTTAAAAGCTCTTGATCCTTATGAAAGGAAGTTTTGTTTTTTTTTCCTGGAAGAGATTTTCCCTTTCTATGCTGAACCAGCTATGTTTTCTCACCAGTCTATTTTGTAACACTTTATGTTTGTTGAGTAGTTCATCAGAATGAGGGATTATCCCTTGTCCAGAAGAACAGAATGACATGATTGCAACAACACTAGGAGCCTGATCTAAATTCAGTGTTATAAAACACAGGCAAAATCAGCAGCAAACCCTTTTTGGGAGACAATTCTCCATGAGTCTCTTGAATTTCCGTATGTCTTGAGAGCAGAAGCATTGACTGACTGTATTACAGGCTATCTTTTTTTTCTGAGTTGGAGTCTCACTTTGTCACCCAGGATGGAGGGCAGTGGCACGCTCCTGGCCACCACAGCCTCGACCCGCTGGGCTCCGGCGATCCTTCGGCCTCAGCCTTCCGAGTAGCTGGGACTACAGGCGTGCGTTACCACGTCCGGCTAATTTTTTGATTTGTTGTAGAGATGAGGGCTCGAACCCGAGGGCTCAGGCAATCCTCTCCCCTTGGCCTCCCAAAGTGCTGGGATTACAGGCTGAGCCACTGAGCCTGGCCACAGACTATCTTTTCAAGGATGCTCGAACAACCAACGGACACACTGTCTCATCCAGAGCAAAGGGCAGGCATGCCTACTGCCCATAAGAGATCCGGCTACTTGGAAGGCTGAGGCGGAAGGATTGCCTGAGCCCAGCAGGTCGAGGCTGCGGTGGCCAGGAGCAGCCACTGCCCTCCAGTCTGGGCGACCAAGTGAGACTCCAACTCAAAAAAAAAAGAGATTTGGGTTGCCCAAGCTCAAGCTTCTTCTCTGCAACTTCCTGTGTGTGTAAGAGGCATATAGAACTCCCCATGTTGCCCTGTGGGACCTGGGACTCAGGAACTAATGCAAAGATGCTAACACTCTGGCTAATGCTCTTGCTATAATACTGGCCTTCATTTCTCAGTCTTGTGTACTCTAGTATCCAGGAAACTGAGGCAGGTTAACTCATTAGCATGCAAGTGGGATAAAAATTTCTGACCCTCCACAGTTCTTAAGATCTTTGTTAATAAGAACTAATCCCACCAAAAACTGCTTTAAAAAAATAAATAGACCTGGGCTCGGTGGTTCAGCCTGTCATCCCGCGCATTTGGGAGG